CCCGCCTCCGCGCCCGGCATCTCTGCCCAGCAGCTGGGACCAGAGGCGCGGCCGCCACGCCCGGACCGCCCGGTTGGAAGCACTCACCGCGCACCAGCAGCGGCACCAGCAGTGTCAACACGGACGTGCTGCTCCTCTTGGAGTCCTCCGAACGGACCCCTCGCCCAGGAGCCTGTGAGGCCCCGGGGGAACAGTCAGTCACCTGCCCAGAGTCACTCCATTAGTGGGCAGCCAGCAGAGCCAGGACGCGAACCCCTGAGATCCCCGTGGAGGGCACCCTGACCACCTCAGCAGCAACACCGCCTCCCCGCGGAGACAGGTGCGCCCCAGGAAAATCTGCAGGATCCAAGGGGCGGATGAAACCACTGAAGGTCACACGCCCAAGTCAGGTCAGGTCTCCCCGGGCCAATCAAGAAAATACGAATGGGCAAGTAAGAGTCCACGGGCTCTCAGTCTTCGGGACCAACCCGGAGCAGATGGGAGCCCGCGCTCGCTCTGTCTCTCTGACCTAGTCCCTCGCCCCAAGGTCTCTGCCTAGACTCTGCGAGAGGCACAGCTTCCTCGCAGCTCTGCAGAAGCAGCTTCTGCACCCGGCTGTGGATCTCCTGGGCCACGAGGGCCAGGAACTGCACGGACACCAAGGGACCTAGGACCCGTTCCGGGGTGGGCATCTCAGGCCGAAGCCACCCACCGTTGGCAAAGCTCCAGGAGCCGCCTGACGGTTTCCTGGGGCCCAGCGGCACAATCCACAGGGGCAGGTAGGAGGCCACCAGGCTGCGCCCTCCAGCTGGGCTGGCCTGGGCTAGGCGGGGGCAGCTCCTGGCGGCAGGTGCAGTAGCTCCCGGGCTGTGACAGTCAGGAGGCCTTTGGCTCCTGGGAGCGCGGGCCAGACGCCAGGGTCAGTTTGCTAGACGTCGTGACCCCGAAAGCAGCGGCCACCGCCACCGCCGACGTCCAAGGAGCCCGCGCCCCGGGCACGTGGGCGGGCGGGCGGGCGGGAGCCATTAAAAAGCAGGTGCAGGACCGCCGTGCCCCGGGCTCCCAGTCACAGCCCGGAGGGGCCGCGGCCTCTGTGGCTTCGGGGAGTGGGGCTCCCGCGCCCTCGACCCGATTCTGCGCGGGCTTGGGAGGCCCCGTCGCAGGCGGCTGTCTCCTGTCTGTCGGGGACCCACGCACCACTAGGCCCTGCTCCCAGCAGGGAAGTAGCAGCAGCCCTCAAGTCTGGCGTCCGCACGCCAAGGGCTCCAGCTGGGGACCACCGCGTGCACCACTTGGCCTCAGTGACAGCATCTGCCTGGCGCCGGCTCAGCCAGGAGGGAGAAATGGGAGCCCAGCCGCGGGGCGGGGACTGGCCCAGCCTGGCCCCGGCCCGCCCCGCCCCGCCGGCCAGGGACCAATTGGAACAGGAGAAGAGGTGGGGCGGCGAGGCCAACCCCAGCGCCCACAAGCCCTCTGCTGGCGGCCCAGGGCGGAGAGGAGAGCCCCGGGCTAGCCAGGTGGAAGCTCAGGTGTTCAAGGGAAGAAAGTAGGAAGGTAGCTCATGGCCACTGGGACCCGCCAGACCAAGATCAGAGGCATCAGCCCAGGAGAGCTGATGAAAGTGCCAAGTGTCCAGCTCATGCGAGATGCGGTGCGTCAGGGTGTCGGGGTGTCGGGAAAGGGGGCCCCAGAGACGTGCGGGGCCTCCCAGGAAATTCTCCCTGCACTGGGACGTTTGAGAATCAGCGACCTGGGCGGAAGAGTCCAAGGGGGTCCCCACCGCTCCGGTTCCTCTCGGGTAGACGGCAGAGAAGGCCTCGCTAGGATCAAAAACGGGGGCTGTGCCACCCAGGCAGCCCCTGGGCTCTGGAAGCGCTTCAGACCGGAAACGGGGACGCTTCCGAAGCGGCAGGAGGCCCGACCCACGTCAGCCTCGTCCGGGGCCCAGACGGCGGGGCGGGAGGCTCAGGGCCTGCCAAGGAGCTGGAGTCCGCAGGGCGGGCCCTCCTGGCCTGGCAAAGCGGTGCGCCCCGACGCAGTACCTGTCTGAGCCACCGGAGGGCGCGTGGGGCCCTGGAGCGCGGGAGGCGCGGCTCCCCGCGCGCGTGCGTGCCTGGACCAAGGACCCGGGGCGGGCGCGAGGACGGAGGACTGGCACGTAGAGGACCGACGGGCGCGTGGACCAAGGACGCGTGGCGAGCGCGGGGACCAAGGACACGCGGGGGCGCGGGGACAGAGGACAGGCGCGTGGAAGAATGATGGGCGCGTGGACGAGGCACGCGAGGCACGGCGGGCGCGAGGGCGAGCGACACGTGGGGGGCGCGTGGCCAGAGGACCGGCGCGTGGACGGAAGATGGGCGGCGGGTGCGTGGACGAAGGACACGCGCGGCCCGCCCCTGGCCCGCCCGCCGGACCCCCTGCCGCCGCTCCCTGCGCCCCAGGCCGGGCCTTCCCGAGCCTGTCTGGGGCGAGGAGCGCCCGTCGGGGCCCTGGGACATCCTGGTGGGGAGCGCGCGGGGCCCGCGCCCGCTCCCGCACCCGCACCCGCACCCGCCCCGGCGCCCCGGCAGCTGCCTGGTGACCGGATTTTGGACGTTCCCGAGACGCGTCGCCCTCGCTTTGCCCCGAGTGCGTGCCCGCTTTGCACGCAGCCTTCTTATCCCGGGGCCGAGTGAGCGCGGGCTCGCTCAGGCGGCTTTGGGGAGAAGCGGCGAGCGCCGGCCGGCCGGCCGCGGTGCATGCAGTGAGGTTGCCCTGCGGGAGAGCGGATGGAGGGACGGCCGGACCATCTGGGCCCTCCCTGGTGGTCGTGCTGGACGGTTGGGGCCCGTGTGCGGAGGGCTGCCAGCTCTGAGGCCCAGCACGGTCAGGGCACGTCCACAGCCCGAGCGGCCCGCTCCCTGGATGCCTTGGAGCCGCGAGGAAGGCTCGGGGCTGAGGGCGGGCGACCGCGCACGCTCTCAAGGAAGGGGCGCTCGCTCCCTCGCTCGCTCGCTCGCTCGCAATCCCCTGCAGGAGCGCTGCCTCTGGGCCAGGCCGGCCTGCTGCCCGTGGCTTCCGTGCAGCTGCATCCGCCGCCGCGGGAAACCTGGGGAAACTGACGGTTCCAGGAGAGACACTGGGCGTCCTTTGAGATACCTTCCGCGAGGTGGGCGGGGGGGGGGGGCGGGGGGAAGGGGCAGGGCGGCGGGCGGGGCCTGAGCTGCTCAGTGGCTTGAGCTTGGGATTCTTGGGGTCAGCTCAGGTCCTGGACTCAGCGTCCTGAGTTCAGGCTCCCACTCAGCCCGGGACTGCGCGCTTGGCAGTCTCTCCCTCCCTCTCCCTCTGCCACCCCGCCCTCCCTCAAGGGAAGAAATCATTCTTCCTCCAAAGAAGCTTGCCCAGGGATGGGGTGGGAACAGCGCCGTTTTCCACGACTGGGCAGGAAGAGTCATGAGTCGTTTTCTGTTTCATCCCCTCCAGGGACGAGGCCGGGGACCCCAGGGCTGTGAGCAAAGAGAGGGAGAGCATGTGGGGGGCGCGGGTGTGGGGCGGTAGAGGTCTCGGGACCTGTGCTGACGTGCACGTGACCACCCCTGTGTCCACCAGCGTGGCCCCAGACGTTGCACTAAGAACCTTTGGATGTTGGTACACGTGAGCGTTGCAGGGGCTATCCACTCTAGCCCGGTCGCCATACCCCTCTGGCATCTTCTGTGTGACCTGGGAAGAGTTAGTCAGTGCTCCTGAGCCACAAGCCTCAGGCCCCTTTTCTGTACTCCGGGCATGATCCTAGCCCCCACCTCTGAGCTTTGGGTGAGGGCTGGGGGACCTGACCTATGCCTAGGAAGGAGGCTTAGAGCAGCACCTGGACCCAGCAGGAGGAGCGTGATCTGGTCGGTGTCCTTCGTTCTTCACGCAGCCCAGATGGCCGGTGGCCCACCCTGTTGCGGTCTGTTTTTCTCTCCCCCGAGGAAGCCCCGCATGCCCCTCCCTAGCAGGAGGCCCGTCACGCTGACGCTGGCTGAAGGACGCACCCCTTGAGCGGAGAGGCACGAAGGCTTGTGGATTTGCAGCCTTTGGAGGCATGGCTGCAGCTATGATGCCCGTGGCGGAAGGTGACCGAGGGTCACTCAGGGCCACCTGGACCTTCAGGGTTGCTCAGCAGAGGTGTGAGCGCTACCCCCACTTCTTCGGTGGCGCGCCTCTACACAGAAACGGAAGACGGCGCTCAGTAGACTGGCAGTGGGGTTACACGCCACCAGACGGATAGGGCTTCGCATAAGGGGTGGGGTCCTTAGCCTTCGGCCGGTGGAGTTTCAAAGCCGAGCTGTCCCATAGCACTTCCTGCAATTCTGTCTCTAGAGCACTTGAAATGTGGCTAGTGGGAACGAGAAACTGAATCTTTCGGGTTAATTAAACTGAAACTGCCACATGGGACGTGCACTATCGTATGGGGCAGCACAGTCGTAGAGGGTCCTTGGATGTTCATGAACATCTTGTAAACCTTTGACGCGGGATGTGTGTGTGTGTGTGTGTGTGTGTGTGTGTGTGTGTGTGGTTTGTATTTCTGGGAGGTGATTCCATGGCTTTCATCAGCTTCTGCTAACTACCAAAGAGGTCAGGACCTGCAGCTTTATGGCTTTGGCAGAAAGGCAGCAAGGTAAGGGAGGTGATTGTGGCCTCTGGTAACCAGTACGGTTGCTCCTTCCTGCTTTTGCCTGTGGGTGGCTTCTGGGGATGAACCCCTATGTCCTTGACTTCTTCCTAGCAGGCTAGGACCCCTAGCCCAGAGCCCACTGGCGTGAAGCTCAGACTCTCATGCATCCTGCGGTTTTATATGTTTTTAAGATCTTATTTATTTGGCAGAGAGAGGCAGAGCGCAGAAGCAGAGGGAGCAACAGAGGGAGAGGGAGAAGCAGGCTCCCACTGAGCAGGGGACCTGATGCGGGGCTCTGTCCCACGACCCCGGGTTCACGGCCTGAGCCAAAGGAGATGCTCAGCCGCTGAGCCACCCAGGCGCCCCTCTCTCTGTGTCTCTCATGAATCAATCAATGCAATCTTTTTATTAAAGAAAAAAAGGAATGGGGTGTGACCCTTGAACTCAGGGGTGTGAGCTTGAGCCCCTCGTTCAGTGCAGAGAGGACTAAGAGGCAAATAAACTCTTGACAAAGGGAGCACCTTTTAAGTGCGCAGCGCCCATTCTTAGCCCTCCCACCACGAGCCAGCCGCTAGCTCTTTGTCATATCTTATGGGCATTTTAAAAATGTTCTGTGAAAAAGTTCATCGCATCGATGCCTCGTACTTTATGAAGACAACCTGCTCGTTTGGATAGAGCCCTTGGTTCCACATCTCCAAACCTCTAAGTCACGCTTGATGGAAACGCCTGAGCACCCAGACGCTCCTTGCTGTATGTTTTAGACCCGTTGACAGCGGGTGAGCTGGAACACTGGGCCAAGTCCCCTGAAATGGGAGTCACTGGAGTACGGTCTCAAGATACGAACGGAGAAGAGACAGCTCAGAGAATTCAAAAGAACAAGTGCCCTGAGGTTTTAGGAGTCAATACCTTAGAGCAGGCGCCGGATCTGAGGTGGAGTCTGAGTGTGTGAATGGGGGCGAGGGGCTCCCCGGTTCCAACTCCTTCTACCCTAGGACATCCACCGAGGTGCAGCCCCCCTTCCTCCAGCTCTGCCAGCTGAGGCTTGAGTCCAAGGCTACTAGGCCACTTGGCGGAGGGTGACCTGATCCCAGACAAGGCCACATGACATCCAGATCGTGCTGCGAGCACCGTCTCAAGAGAAGGTGCACGTAGGAGCAAGGGCCCCTAGGAGAGGAGCAGGCAGCAAGGAGGAAGGGCACCGGCGGGCGCGGGGTGTGTTTGTGATGGGGGGCGGGGACACAGCAGCAGCACCTTGCACACCACCCGGATCCATCATCTTGTCCCCCGAGGCCCCCCTGAGGGAGGAAGAGAGGAGTCAGGGGACAGTTAATGATGGAGATGAGAGAAATGCCCAGGACAACGGCGTCCCTACTGGGTAGCATCCTGCGGATTAGTAGCACGTGGTATGCCTTCGCCGACCCCTGGGCCCTGCCCCGTAGGACTCAAGTCTCCAAAGAGAAGGCAACTGTCGGGGGGAGGAGGGGTAACAGTACCTGGAATGATGGGGACACAGTAAAGGAAGAACAGGTCCCTTCCCCGCTGGCCTGCAGTGCTCCAAGCCTCCTATGGTCCAGCGGGCCCTCCGCCAAGCACCAAGAGGACTCCACTCCCCACCAACGTCCGAGGTTCCCCTGCTGACACGGAGACACCTTGTCACTGGGTCACAGGCAAAGGACATGTCACCACAAGGGGCATCCCGCCTGGGAAGCACCCTCGTTCTCCACCTAGCCTGAGATGCCCCCCCACTCCGACACGGGCACGCCCAAACCATGGGTCTCCAGCAAGGGGGATCCCAGCACAACAAAGCGCCTGGCCCAGCAACCCTGTCCTTCCCAGCTGGGCCCGAGAGTGCCCTCCTCCACCCCGCCCCGAGAAGCCCTGCTGCCCGCGGGCACCGACGCGGGGAATCAAGCTCCAAGGGTTTGGCCCAGAATGGTCCCCTTCTTCCACCGGTAGAGGGCATCCTGCCTCCCAAAGCTCCCAACCCTGGAAACGTTGCTTGCCCCGAAGGCACCGGAATCCTTTGCCCCACCCAGAATCCTCAGGTAGCCTGGCCTGGGGAGATTTCTTCCATTTCCTCCAGCAAGATCCGCAGGGACAAGTGGAAGTCCCAGCAGCAGCATAAACCCAGGCGACCAAAGGAGCACCACCAAGGCCCCAGCGCCCACCCCACCCCCCAACGCCTGGCTCAGGCAACTCTTGGTCTCTGGGTCCCGACCGCCAGCCGCACGTAGCTTGAACAGATGTCTGTAAAACAAATAATTGAGAAGCAGCACCACACGGACGTGGAAAATCATCTTGTCCCTACAACCACAGCCCACAACAGTAGGCCAGCACCTGCAGGCCAAACCTCCACAGGACGACTGCTTGCCCACATACCAAGTGGAAAGAGAACCCGGTGTCTCCTCCCATACTTTCCGAAATGGCGAGGACACGATGGTAAATCATCCTTCGTGCAAAGATCCAGGAAGTCCTCCGCTCGGATGAGAACAGACAGTCAAGTGATACTAGCTCCAGAATTAAGGAGATGTCAGAATGAACTCATAAAGCATCGATCCTAAAAATAACACTTACAAGTACACGGCGGGGGCGCCTGGGTGGCTCCGTCGCAGAAGCGCCTGCCTTCAGCTCAGGTCATGATCCCAGCGTCCTGGGTTCGAGCCCCGCATCGAGCTCCCTGCTTCTCCCTCTCCCTCTGTTTGCAGCTCATCCTGCCTGTGTTCTCACTCTCGGGCTTTCTGTCTCTCTCTCCCTCTCTCTCCCGCCCTCTCTCTCCCTCCCTCTCTCTAACCAATATGACTCTTGTTTAAAAAATTACAAGTACATGTTCATACCAGGCTCTTTGTAATAGCCAACAGCTCGAAGCACCCCAGCTGCCCTTCAGTGGATGACTGTTGCAACGCCCCTGCGGGATACCTATACAGCCATACAAAGAAACAAATATGGTTGGTTACACAGAATGACTTGGAGAAATCTCCAGGGAATTGTGCTGGGGGGCGCGGAGCCCATCCCCAAAGGCTACAGACCATAGGATTCCATGTAGAAAACATTCTTGAAATGACAAAATGATGTGAGGGGAGAACAGAGTGGAGCCCCTGGGGAACTCATTGGGTGAGCGCCTGACTCTTGATCTCAGCTCACGTCTTGGTCTCAGGGTCGTGGGTTCAGGCCCTGCACTGGGTTCTGCACCGGGCACGGGCACGGAGGCTACATTTAACAAAAAAACAAAAAAGAAACAAACAAACAAACGAACAAAAACGGAGATCGGACACATTAGTGGTTGCCAGAGGCCAGAGAAGATCAGGGACTGTGTCACAGGGGTGGATGGGCAGGACAGGGTGCGGGTGAGTAGAGCCAGGCCTTCCTCATGCCAATAGGCTGGATTGGAAGTAGATTTTTTGCAATTCTCCTTGGCCGAACTCCTGGAAGGGTAAAGGAGACCTCTCTCTTTGTTCAACTGCAGGTCAACTACAATCATGTCAGAATGAAAAGTTGAATTGAAAACAGGGACGCCACGGAAAGATCTGCCCCACGTCCAGCAAATTCCGAACCACCGTTTCCGAGGCCCTTGGGTCCGCGGTCAAGACACTGACTTGAGAAATTGCCTCTCTTTAGCAGCTAATGCTCCAGCCCGCTGGTTGCGCTGGTTGCGGTGAGGCCACACCCTGGCCTTCTCACCTCCCACCTGTGGTCCTTAGGCCTTTGGGGTTCTTTGGGAACCCAGCCCTAGGGGCTGATGCAGCCCGGGCTTCGCCGAGGGTGCACCCACTCTCGCTTGAAGCACAGGGACTTTCGGGCCCACCGGCTGCTGAAGCACAGTCTGCTTGCGAAGCCTTTGGGTTCCCAGCCCATTGTGTGTGACCTCAAAGGCAAGCTGCCATCACCTCTTCTCAGAAAAGGGCCCGATGGCCAGGGAAGTTCTGGCAGGGCTTTGAGGGCAGAGGGGAGAGAAGACCTCGGTCGGTCACGTTGGACACACCAGGACCAAAGGATGATTTCCACTCCAGGCGTTCGTTCGTGAGGGTCAGTCTGTGATTGTTTGTGGACAGGGTGGGGAGACCTGTGTCCCACTGCCCCCTTTCCCCACAGATCCTCCCAAGTACCGCACTGCCCCTTTCCCTCCCCACCACTTCCGGGTGCTCCCCCTCCTCACTGCTAAGGAAGCTCACCTGGGGGTGCCGGTGGGGGCCGTTCCGGGAGTCCAGGCCTCAAAGCCTCAGCGCCAAACTCTTTTACTGAGCTCACCGTTAAGTGAGACTCAGCGCTGCGGACGGGACCAGACTGCTGACGGACCCCAAGGTAACAACCGCTAACCTTGAGTGTGTCTGCTCAGAGCCCGGTTCTCCCCGTGTCCACCAGGCTGGCGAGCGGAGCCTCTGGACCGGCACGAGCCCACTGCCGGCGCCCAGGCCAATTCTGACCTGCTCCTCTTGCGACCCGGGTGGGCGTCCAGACCCGTCCTCTCCTCGGATCGGGCAGCCCGGAGGTCTCCCGCTTCGCGGAGGTTAGCCCAAGTGAAGGCGAACTTGGGAACGAACGTAGCCCACACAGCCGACCAGCAGAGCGCACGCCAGCCCAGAACCCCCGCGCTAGGGCAGTGCCCCCCGCCTCCGCGCCCGGCATCTCTGCCCAGCAGCTGGGACCAGAGGCGCGGCCGCCACGCCCGGACCGCCCGGTTGGAAGCACTCACCGCGCACCAGCAGCGGCACCAGCAGTGTCAACACGGACGTGCTGCTCCTCTTGGAGTCCTCCGAACGGACCCCTCGCCCAGGAGCCTGTGAGGCCCCGGGGGAACAGTCAGTCACCTGCCCAGAGTCACTCCATTAGTGGGCAGCCAGCAGAGCCAGGACGCGAACCCCTGAGATCCCCGTGGAGCGCACCCTGACCACCTCAGCAGCAACACCGCCTCCCCGCGGAGACAGGTGCGCCCCAGGAAAATCTGCAGGATCCAAGGGGCGGATGAAACCACTGAAGGTCACACGCCCAAGTCAGGTCAGGTCTCCCCGGGCCAATCAAGAAAATACGAATGGGCAAGTAAGAGTCCACGGGCTCTCAGTCTTCGGGACCAACCCGGAGCAGATGGGAGCCCGCGCTCGCTCTGTCTCTCTGACCTAGTCCCTCGCCCCCAAGGTCTCTGCCTAGACTCTGCGAGAGGCACAGCTTCCTCGCAGCTCTGCAGAAGCAGCTTCTGCACCCGGCTGTGGATCTCCTGGGCCACGAGGGCCAGGAACTGCACGGACACCAAGGGACCTAGGACCCGTTCCGGGGTGGGCATCTCAGGCCGAAGCCACCCACCGTTGGCAAAGCTCCAGGAGCCGCCTGACGGTTTCCTGGGGCCCAGCGGCACAATCCACAGGGGCAGGTAGGAGGCCACCAGGCTGCGCCCTCCAGCTGGGCTGGCCTGGGCTAGGCGGGGGCAGCTCCTGGCGGCAGGTGCAGTAGCTCCCGGGCTGTGACAGTCAGGAGGCCTTTGGCTCCTGGGAGCGCGGGCCAGACGCCAGGGTCAGTTTGCTAGACGTCGTGACCCCGAAAGCAGCGGCCACCGCCACCGCCGACGTCCAAGGAGCCCGCGCCCCGGGCACGTGGGCGGGCGGGCGGGCGGGAGCCATTAAAAAGCAGGTGCAGGACCGCCGTGCCCCGGGCTCCCAGTCACAGCCCGGAGGGGCCGCGGCCTCTGTGGCTTCGGGGAGTGGGGCTCCCGCGCCCTCGACCCGATTCTGCGCGGGCTTGGGAGGCCCCGTCGCAGGCGGCTGTCTCCTGTCTGTCGGGGACCCACGCACCACTAGGCCCTGCTCCCACCAGGGAAGTAGCAGCAGCCCTCAAGTCTGGCGTCCGCACGCCAAGGGCTCCAGCTGGGGACCACCGCGTGCACCACTTGGCCTCAGTGACAGCATCTGCCTGGCGCCGGCTCAGCCAGGAGGGAGAAATGGGAGCCCAGCCGCGGGGCGGGGACTGGCCCAGCCTGGCCCCGGCCCGCCCCGCCCCGCCGGCCAGGGACCAATTGGAACAGGAGAAGAGGTGGGGCGGCGAGGCCAACCCCAGCGCCCACAAGCCCTCTGCTGGCGGCCCAGGGCGGAGAGGAGAGCCCCGGGCTAGCCAGGTGGAAGCTCAGGTGTTCAAGGGAAGAAAGTAGGAAGGTAGCTCATGGCCACTGGGACCCGCCAGACCAAGATCAGAGGCATCAGCCCAGGAGAGCTGATGAAAGTGCCAAGTGTCCAGCTCATGCGAGATGCGGTGCGTCAGGGTGTCGGGGTGTCGGGAAAGGGGGCCCCAGAGACGTGCGGGGCCTCCCAGGAAATTCTCCCTGCACTGGGACGTTTGAGAATCAGCGACCTGGGCGGAAGAGTCCAAGGGGGTCCCCACCGCTCCGGTTCCTCTCGGGTAGACGGCAGAGAAGGCCTCGCTAGGATCAAAAACGGGGGCTGTGCCACCCAGGCAGCCCCTGGGCTCTGGAAGCGCTTCAGACCGGAAACGGGGACGCTTCCGAAGCGGCAGGAGGCCCGACCCACGTCAGCCTCGTCCGGGGCCCAGACGGCGGGGCGGGAGGCTCAGGGCCTGCCAAGGAGCTGGAGTCCGCAGGGCGGGCCCTCCTGGCCTGGCAAAGCGGTGCGCCCCGACGCAGTACCTGTCTGAGCCACCGGAGGGCGCGTGGGGCCCTGGAGCGCGGGAGGCGCGGCTCCCCGCGCGCGTGCGTGCCTGGACCAAGGACCCGGGGCGGGCGCGAGGACGGAGGACTGGCACGTAGAGGACCGACGGGCGCGTGGACCAAGGACGCGTGGCGAGCGCGGGGACCAAGGACACGCGGGGGCGCGGGGACAGAGGACAGGCGCGTGGAAGAATGATGGGCGCGTGGACGAGGCACGCGAGGCACGGCGGGCGCGAGGGCGAGCGACACGTGGGGGGCGCGTGGCCAGAGGACCGGCGCGTGGACGGAAGATGGGCGGCGGGTGCGTGGACGAAGGACACGCGCGGCCCGCCCCTGGCCCGCCCGCCGGACTCCCTGCCGCCGCTCCCTGCGCCCCAGGCCGGGCCTTCCCGAGCCTGTCTGGGGCGAGGAGCGCCCGTCGGGGCCCTGGGACATCCTGGTGGGGAGCGCGCGGGGCCCGCGCCCGCTCCCGCACCCGCACCCGCACCCCCGCCCCGGCGCCCCGGCAGCTGCCTGGTGACCGGATTTTGGACGTTCCCGAGACGCGTCGCCCTCGCTTTGCCCCGAGTGCGTGCCCGCTTTGCACGCAGCCTTCTTATCCCGGGGCCGAGTGAGCGCGGGCTCGCTCAGGCGGCTTTGGGGAGAAGCGGCGAGCGCCGGCCGGCCGGCCGCGGTGCATGCAGTGAGGTTGCCCTGCGGGAGAGCGGATGGAGGGACGGCCGGACCATCTGGGCCCTCCCTGGTGGTCGTGCTGGACGGTTGGGGCCCGTGTGCGGAGGGCTGCCAGCTCTGAGGCCCAGCACGGTCAGGGCACGTCCACAGCCCGAGCGGCCCGCTCCCTGGATGCCTTGGAGCCGCGAGGAAGGCTCGGGGCTGAGGGCGGGCGACCGCGCACGCTCTCAAGGAAGGGGCGCTCGCTCCCTCGCTCGCTCGCTCGCTCGCAATCCCCTGCAGGAGCGCTGCCTCTGGGCCAGGCCGGCCTGCTGCCCGTGGCTTCCGTGCAGCTGCATCCGCCGCCGCGGGAAACCTGGGGAAACTGACGGTTCCAGGAGAGACACTGGGCGTCCTTTGAGATACCTTCCGCGAGGTGGGCGGGGGGGGGGGCGGGGGGAAGGGGCAGGGCGGCGGGCGGGGCCTGAGCTGCTCAGTGGCTTGAGCTTGGGATTCTTGGGGTCAGCTCAGGTCCTGGACTCAGCGTCCTGAGTTCAGGCTCCCACTCAGCCCGGGAGTGCGCGCTTGGCAGTCTCTCCCTCCCTCTCCCTCTGCCACCCCGCCCTCCCTCAAGGGAAGAAATCATTCTTCCTCCAAAGAAGCTTGCCCAGGGATGGGGTGGGAACAGCGCCGTTTTCCACGACTGGGCAGGAAGAGTCATGAGTCGTTTTCTGTTTCATCCCCTCCAGGGACGAGGCCGGGGACCCCAGGGCTGTGAGCAAAGAGAGGGAGAGCATGTGGGGGGCGCGGGTGTGGGGCGGTAGAGGTCTCGGGACCTGTGCTGACGTGCACGTGACCACCCCTGTGTCCACCAGCGTGGCCCCAGACGTTGCACTAAGAACCTTTGGATGTTGGTACACGTGAGCGTTGCAGGGGCTATCCACTCTAGCCCGGTCGCCATACCCCTCTGGCATCTTCTGTGTGACCTGGGAAGAGTTAGTCAGTGCTCCTGAGCCACAAGCCTCAGGCCCCTTTTCTGTACTCCGGGCATGATCCTAGCCCCCACCTCTGAGCTTCGGGTGAGGGCTGGGGGACCTGACCTATGCCTAGGAAGGAGGCTTAGAGCAGCACCTGGACCCAGCAGGAGGAGCGTGATCTGGTCGGTGTCCTTCGTTCTTCACGCAGCCCAGATGGCCGGTGGCCCACCCTGTTGCGGTCTGTTTTTCTCTCCCCCGAGGAAGCCCCGCATGCCCCTCCCTAGCAGGAGGCCCGTCACGCTGACGCTGGCTGAAGGACGCACCCCTTGAGCGGAGAGGCACGAAGGCTTGTGGATTTGCAGCCTTTGGAGGCATGGCTGCAGCTATGATGCCCGTGGCGGAAGGTGACCGAGGGTCACTCAGGGCCACCTGGACCTTCAGGGTTGCTCAGCAGAGGTGTGAGCGCTACCCCCACTTCTTCGGTGGCGCGCCTCTACACAGAAACGGAAGACGGCGCTCAGTAGACTGGCAGTGGGGTTACACGCCACCAGACGGATAGGGCTTCGCATAAGGGGTGGGGTCCTTAGCCTTCGGCCGGTGGAGTTTCAAAGCCGAGCTGTCCCATAGCACTTCCTGCAATTCTGTCTCTAGAGCACTTGAAATGTGGCTAGTGGGAATGAGAAACTGAATCTTTCGGGTTAATTAAACTGAAACTGCCACATGGGACGTGCACTATCGTATGGGGCAGCACAGTCGTAGAGGGTCCTTGGATGTTCATGAACATCTTGTAAACCTTTGACGCGGGATGTGTGTGTGTGTGTGTGTGTGTGTGTGTGTGTGTGTGTGGTTTGTATTTCTGGGAGGTGATTCCATGGCTTTCATCAGCTTCTGCTAACTACCAAAGAGGTCAGGACCTGCAGCTTTATGGCTTTGGCAGAAAGGCAGCAAGGTAAGGGAGGTGATTGTGGCCTCTGGTAACCAGTACGGTTGCTCCTTCCTGCTTTTGCCTGTGGGTGGCTTCTGGGGATGAACCCCTATGTCCTTGACTTCTTCCTAGCAGGCTAGGACCCCTAGCCCAGAGCCCACTGGCGTGAAGCTCAGACTCTCATGCATCCTGCGGTTTTATATGTTTTTAAGATCTTATTTATTTGGCAGAGAGAGGCAGAGCGCAGAAGCAGAGGGAGCAACAGAGGGAGAGGGAGAAGCAGGCTCCCACTGAGCAGGGGACCTGATGCGGGGCTCTGTCCCACGACCCCGGGTTCACGGCCTGAGCCAAAGGAGATGCTCAGCCGCTGAGCCACCCAGGCGCCCCTCTCTCTGTGTCTCTCATGAATCAATCAATGCAATCTTTTTATTAAAGAAAAAAAGGAATGGGGTGTGACCCTTGAACTCAGGGGTGTGAGCTTGAGCCCCTCGTTCAGTGCAGAGAGGACTAAGAGGCAAATAAACTCTTGACAAAGGGAGCACCTTTTAAGTGCGCAGCGCCCATTCTTAGCCCTCCCACCACGAGCCAGCCGCTAGCTCTTTGTCATATCTTATGGGCATTTTAAAAATGTTCTGTGAAAAAGTTCATCGCATCGATGCCTCGTACTTTATGAAGACAACCTGCTCGTTTGGATAGAGCCCTTGGTTCCACATCTCCAAACCTCTAAGTCACGCTCGATGGAAACGCCTGAGCACCCAGACGCTCCTTGCTGTATGTTTTAGACCCGTTGACAGCGGGTGAGCTGGAACACTGGGCCAAGTCCCCTGAAATGGGAGTCACTGGAGTACGGTCTCAAGATACGAACGGAGAAGAGACAGCTCAGAGAATTCAAAAGAACAAGTGCCCTGAGGTTTTAGGAGTCAATACCTTAGAGCAGGCGCCGGATCTGAGGTGGAGTCTGAGTGTGTGAATGGGGGCGAGGGGCTCCCCGGTTCCAACTCCTTCTACCCTAGGACATCCACCGAGGTGCAGCCCCCCTTCCTCCAGCTCTGCCAGCTGAGGCTTGAGTCCAAGGCTACTAGGCCACTTGGCGGAGGGTGACCTGATCCCAGACAAGGCCACATGACATCCAGATCGTGCTGCGAGCACCGTCTCAAGAGAAGGTGCACGTAGGAGCAAGGGCCCCTAGGAGAGGAGCAGGCAGCAAGGAGGAAGGGCACCGGCGGGCGCGGGGTGTGTTTGTGATGGGGGGCGGGGACACAGCAGCAGCACCTTGCACACCACCCGGATCCATCATCTTGTCCCCCGAGGCCCCCCTGAGGGAGGAAGAGAGGAGTCAGGGGACAGTTAATGATGGAGATGAGAGAAATGCCCAGGACAACGGCGTCCCTACTGGGTAGCATCCTGCGG